GGGGGGGGGGGGGGGGGGCAAGTGCCCCCCCCCCCTTGCCCCCCCACAGGCGCCCATGCATTGATACTTTGGGCTGGGTAATCATTAAACTGCATTACTATCACAATGCAACGCATCTTGTTTTCCTTTGATTCTTTTATAACACAATCACATTCACTCACACACGTATACAATCACAAACAAGCAAACACAATCAAGACATATTTTACCCCGAGCGAGAACAACGTGATGACCCTCTGGGACCAGAGCTTACTCTCTGCGTAGTCGTTTACTCCCCGTTTACTTTATTCAATCTTTTATTAACGTGTTTATTGTCTTCAAACACAACTAAATGTGAATAAAGCTTATAATTAAATGTGTGCACTTAATATTAATATGTATACATTTTAAAATGACATAATCAAATTTTATATGGACTTTCAGATATAATTACACCTGATGAATAGTACAACACATTAACACTAACATTAACACTAACATTAACACTAACACATAAGGATCAACACTAAACATTTTGACTTTATAAACCTTTTTACTGTATCTTTTTCCTTGTAACTTTTTCCCTGTGACTTCTTTGTCCCACCTTAAAAAACATCTACTACAAGGTACTATTATTCTCTATCAGAGTCGACATCATCAGCCTTTTTATGAGTAAGAATTTTACATAATAATCAATATCACCGGTGCGTTTTATGCGGGAATACAGTTCAGGGGTCGCCGGAACCAGACTAAAAATGCTCCCCCCCCCCTTTTCCCACAAACCCATAAATCAATAATGTCATAATTTATTCATTTTACTCAACTTTCATACTTGCAAATATATTTAGAAAGAGGACAGGTATTTCTGTAAAAAAATAAAAAAAATAAAAACAATAATACGCCTTCGAATACAAACAATAATGAAACTATCGGCCTATACATAAGTAAAAGCAATGAATTTAACAGTATTTTGATTCGAACTCATAACAGTTAGTGTAGCTGAGATGTACTGACATTTATATTTAAGGTGATTGACTTTTTCTTCGAAAAATTGCGAATGACATCATTAGAGTCAATCGTTTTTTGAAAGATCAGACTCAATACTGAGTCGCCTCAGTGACATAGAGTCGATCTTAGATAACTTTTACCAACTTTGATTTTGCTGAATGAGCGCTCTGCAGAGGTGAAGCTGTCAGACAGTGTTAACATAATACGGAGGGGAAACACGTATTTTGGAGTCCTTCCAGCTTCTATCTTTTTTAAAGCTATTCAGCTATAGCTCCAATGGACTCAGTTGACCCTCTCCGAAATGTGCTTGATGAACAGATGGGAAACGACTTATTTCCATACAAGATCTTTCTTCAGTGATATCAGTGGGATATTGATCTGTAAGTAATTTATATTTTTCTATCAGTTCATCCTGAGGCATTGCTGGGCACTGCCAGGAGAAGTTAAACTTCTCAGAAATGCTCACTGCAGCTTTGAAACGATAAGTGTATCCACCGATAACATTATCCAATTTACACTGAAGACAGACTCTCTGAAATATGCTTTCCTCAGCGGATTCATCCATTTCATCTTGTTCAGACAAACCTGCTTCTGCCGCACCTTCATCACGGGAAACCTCGTTCTTTCGAGTTTCACTTCACCCCGAGTCCCAGAGTTTCACTCGTGTGCACCGTTGCAAATATTTTTCAGTGCTGAAATCAAACTTTTTTTAAGTTGGACACTTCAACATCCAGCGTTGCGTTTTTTTGACTGATCAACCTTGCTGCAGCAGATATCAAATAGAACGAATACTCTGTACTTTACAACACACATGAAGGATGGCATTGATCTCTGTTTCTTGTTTTGGCGGTTTGGTTCAACTCCAAGAGGTCTTCTAATACTAATTTGATGCCTGGCAGGTGGGATACAAAGTACGTTATTCTTTCAACATGTTCTGGCCATCATGTGTTAGACAGGCCGTGATGATAGCATCCAATACACTTATGCAAGATTTCCCATTGCTGTGGACTAGAACTAAAAAGTTGTATACAGTTTGCAGTTCAAAAAAAAAAAAAAGTTGCAGACAGGTTGCAGTTCAAAAAAAAAAAAAAGGGGGGGGGGAGGTCGTCTTCCGCGAGCCATTGAAAATTGCTCTGCGTACCACGTTTAGCACCTGTGTCGAAGGTTGCCGAGTACCGCCCCTGGTACAGAATACTAACCCCAGGGGGGGCACCAACCCTAGTTACTGCATGTACAGACCATTAGTGTCCGCCTAAGGTAAATCTGCTATTTAAAAACAATGCTTCGGGGCGCTCGCTTTCGGCCTTTCTATAAATAATTTCATAAGTGTAAAAATTCCACAAATTCATTAAAAAAAAGAAAAAGGCTTAGTGAAGTGGTTATCTGCGATTTTGATCGAGGAAATGGTGTGTGTGTGCGTGTCTAAAAAAACCCAGCAAAACAACAACAACAAACTTAAAATAAAACACATGGATAGCGGAGACATCTTTAATGGCGGACATCTTTGATGGCGGTTTCTCGCGTCGAGTGCTTATATAAATTTATATTTGAACTGACATAGTTTAAAGTAATTAATCAATGAACAACTCCATATTTCACGTGGTCTCTCATGTCTCGTGATTTTTTTTTTTTGACTGATGGGTCATCGGGTTGCGGGCTGCTGTGACCTACTGACCCAACGTTATAAAATCTTTAACTAGTTTTCAATGATTAGAAAATAAGCGAGGCCCCACCAGCACCCCGCTAGGTACACTACCCACCATGCGAAATACTATATAAATAACCTATCCGATACCCCACCACGCTAACTACCACATGAATAACCTTAGGACACCCAGCCAGCCAAGGCAGGCAACAGACCATCCACTTAACCAGCCAATGCAGGCACCTTACAATCCACCTAACCAGCCAAGGCAGGCAACAGACCACCCACCTAACCAGCCAATGCAGGCACCTTACAATCCACCTAACCAGCCAAGGCAGGCAACAGACCATCCACCTAACCAGCCAATGCAGGCAACAGACCATCCACCTAACCAGCCAATGCAGGCACCATACCATCCACCTAACCAGCCAATGCAGGCACCATACCATCCACCTAACCAGCCAATGCAGGCACCATACCATCCACCTAACCAGCCAATGCAGGCACCAGCCAATGCAGTCACCTTACCATCCACCTAACCAGCCAATGCAGGCACCATACCATCCACCTAACCAGCCAATGCAGGCACCATACCATCCACCTAACCAGCCAATGCAGGCACCATACCATCCACCTAACCAGCCAAGGCAGGCACCATACCATCCACCTAACCAGCCAATGCAGGCAACAGACCATCCACCTAACCAACCAGTCCAGGCAACCCCATCAAGCAACCTAAATCAAACATATCTCTATGCATCACTTCCACACTTAATGATTCCAAGTGAATCCACTGTTGGGGAATTCTTTTATGACGCTAGTTTAATTAAAAAACCAAAAGAAATGAAGGTCACAAATATAAAATAAAATATAAAAAGCCTTCAAATGCATGACACTTTTAATTTTGAAGCAAAAGCACATTTTGATCATGATGATATACAAATTAATTGTAGCAATGTGTTCTTGGCCAAATGTCTGTCAGCCATCTCTTCATGGCAATACCCAAAATATTACATAAAACAAGATTCAAATAGAAAAAAAAGTTACTGTCCCATTTTAGATAGGATTCTAATCTGAAAAAACTTGAAACTGCTGACAAACCTCACAAAGATAGACATGCAAATGACATTTAGAGCAGTTTTCTTTCAACAGTAACATCCCTAAAATAAAAATATCTATAAAATGTTTTTCCTCTTGACCAACACCCCCCCCCCCAATTCAAATTACAATCATATGTGGTGTCCAGCAATAAAATATGGTGTCCAGCAATAAAATATGGTGTCCAACAGTCAGAAGTTATTCTCATAGCACAATTCAAGTAATTCTATGAGAAAAAAAATGTAATTGAAATGACATCACAGTAGTGCAGATTAGCATTTGCCAGGAAGCAACTCAATATAAGTCATGCGCCAGGTAACCATTTTTAATATTTTTTTTATTTTTATAGAACAGACATTGCATTGGGGTTTCAGTTACAAAATAACAATATTTGATTTTATCCTGTTTGAAAAAAAAAAAAAAAAAAACCCCACCCCCCCCCCCCCCCCCCCCCAAATATTTGAGTTAAATGTTAAAAAAACAAAATGTTAATGGATGTACTTATTGACTGCAGCCAAAGATCCTTTGAGAAAAATATTTATTTTACATGCACAAGATAAATGCACATGTACAGAAGCATATTAAAAATAATTAGCTTATTCCTGTCCCACAATGAATAACGTCTCTGCAACACAAAACTTAAGAAACCTAGCAGCATCACATTAGCAAATTGGATATGCAAATGTAGAACAAGATATGTAAGATGGTGGCTACAGGTTATTTATTGTATACCTGGAGTTTTTCTTTTTTTTTTTTTTTGTACACAGAATTATGGTCTAGTACTGCAAAGTAAAAACAGAGGACTTAGTTAGTTAAGATTCTTGGTTGGAGAGACTCCTTAAAATTTAGTTTTTCAATAATTTAGAATTTTTATATTATTTATTGTATACCTGGAGTTTTTCTTTTTTTTTTTTTTTTGTACACAGAATTATGGTCTAGTACTGCAAAGTAAAAACAGAGGACTTAGTTAGTTAAGATTCTTGGTTGGAGAGACTCCTTAACATTTAGTTATTCAATAATTTAGAATTTTTATATGGAATGCTCAGGAAACAGCTACAATGTAAATTGGGATCTGATCTTAATTTTGTGAATGAGATTGCTATTTTTTAAGCTATTGGACGGTCAATCATAAAATGCCCATTGGATGAATATGTTACATCAAGCATATAATATATATGAGTCATGAAGAAAATTGCAACTATAAATAAGTGAAATGAAAAAAGGCTCCATCACTGAGGTCTGGGTTATGCTCCATCACTGAGGTATGGGCCGTAGTGTGGCCATCTTTTCATACATGTTTAAAATATCATCTTGTTCGTCATGCCGGGCAAGGGTCTCAGAACTATCGACCTCAGGTTGCTGGTTCAAAATGTGAAGTTGTTCACCTTGCTGTGCAACAGTCTCAGGATTATCTTCCTTATTTTGCTGGTTATGGCCAGAGATGAAAGTTGTGAATAAAAATAATCACAAAGATTTCGAAACATTAAAAAAAATTTGGTATTTATTTACCAGGACCATTTTTTAAAAAAAAAAAGAAACATGTTAATAAATAAGGTCTTGAGAACCACAGCTCTGTGCTTATGAGCTGAACTTGAATGATTTTAACACCCAAGTTAAAATAAACGGTGGTAAAAATTAATTTAAAAAGAAAAAAATAAAATAAAATGTGGCACTGTGTCAGAAACTTGGATAGAGCATATAAAGGTTAATACATTGTAGCACTTGTAGATTTATATATAGATTTTAAAAAATACTTATTTTATTTAAACATTAGCTGACTAGATTCAAAAATGATTATCACACATAACTTTCAAAATCAGATAGTCTATATGAAGTAAAAATTAAAACAGTATATACAATTTTTTTTTTCAATTTATGTGGCTGTCAAAATTTATCAATTCTAATTTATTTATTTATTTATTTATTTAGGCATTTTTATATAGCGCTTACCTTAAAGCTCTAAGCGCTTTACAATTATAAAAACATGTAAACTAACTACAATAAAAATGAGACATTAGGATAGTAATTAAGTAAAAATATTAATTTAAAAAATCTAAACATTATTTATACAATGTGTATGATAGTAATGAGCAGCCATTCTAACACATTGAACTCTATCAATGTTAACATACTTCTTAATATAAAAACCACTTTAAAGGTTGATCCTTTAACATATAACATATTTTTAACCATACATTGAAATATGTTACTGATTGAATTGCTCCGTTGAATTTACCTGTTGAATTATATAAAGTTCTAAACAAAATTTCTGGTCATCTGATGAGTTGGATAAGGTTAATTTATGTCTTTACAACTCAATCTTGTTCTGATCTTAACTAATCTTACCTAAATAATTATTTAAAACCAAAAATCAATAATTTTCAAGTTAGGGAAATAAAGCTGTTTATACAAGAAATAACAACTTATTGTGTATAGAAATTATTGCAGCATGATGATAAGGGTAAAATACAAATGGAAATAAAGCCATGCTAACACTAATGTAAAAATTACTATTTCATTTCTGTCTTAGTTTGTAATATTATCCCTTTTTCAATATTACATATTTTTGTTAAATTGTATGCAAAATATAAATTTAAAAAATTTCTTTTCTTAATGATGTGTGATATTTTCATAGATGGAATGTAGTCATCTGTATTTAGTTAAAACTGTCAGTTCATTAAAAAAAAAAACACAAAAAAAACAGTACTGCAACTTTAAATTGATAATGCAACATTAATAATATCAATGACTTCAAATGTTAAATTTTCTACAGATACAATTAAATACTTAAAAAAATGATCTACATTTAATTTGGTTTGTTAATAATTACACTAACCTAAAAATTACAACCATTTCAAAATCTGGTCATGTCATTTTAAATCAATTCACTTTGTGTTCTTACCCCTGATGTTTCTGAAAATGGTTGCGCTTTAACAAATTTGTTAAGGAGGATTTCAGTTTCGTTTAATCCCCATTATTATTATGCCATTTTAGTTAATTATTCTCTTTTAATAATGATAAAAGCTGGTACATTTTTTTTCATTGATGTGTGAAAAGAAAAGTAAGTGCCTTGAACTGTTAGGTGTAAAATCGAGGTACCAGTGATCAGTATATTTGATTTAAGCACAAAATATGATTCTCTAGATATTTATATTGTATGACTCTGTTAAAAGTGTGAAAATTACTATAAAAAATGGGATTCTTAAAACCACTGATAGTGATATTTAAAAAAAAAAAACAGAAATCGAAACAATTTAAATGTAGCAAAATAAATATGGTTAGGCCTAGGCCTATATGTAAATTTACAAATTATTTAATTTGTAAGTAGTTATAATAAATAAATTAGAAATGAGTTTAGTATAATAAATTTCACAGAAGTAAGCACTATTTGGGATTCTTATAAAGTGTGATACTTGAATGCATTTTTTGTCAAGTAGCTTGAGTAGATGGGCAAGTTCATGCATTGCCTCTCCCATTGTTTGGTGGGTTACTTCTAGTTAATAATATTCCATTATATTTTTCTCTGCCAATATATCTTTTAATGAAAATGATTGATTAAAGAATTCCTTAATGTTTTACATTTTATAAATCACATGTAACAAAAATCCAATGGAAATACATCAATGAATAAAGCTTGGGATGTACAGTTGCTGGGACATGAGTACAAAAACATATAAGGTTAAGCAGAATAATCACATGAATATGTTTTCTTTATAAAGATCAAGACTGACAGTCTTAATTTCATGCAAATAAAAAACATAAAGCTTTAACAACAAAAATATTTGAGATATTAAAATGAGCAAATAATTTTGAAATGGGGTTTTTTAGTAGATGAGAGGTAAGCTATAAAGTGAAAGACAACTGTGAAAGATAAGCTGTAAAGTGGAAAACAACTGTGATAGCTAAGCTATAAAGTGAAAAACAACTGTGATATTTATTTGAAACATAATGCAATAAATATTGTGACGTGTCAAGACATGACAAGATTATTCATGGACCTTAAAAGACAACATAAAATTTGGAACAAGAAACATGGACATGATGACAAGGATAGGAAGGGTTGTCCATATTAGAATGGTTGTGGGTCTTAGAAAACAACAAGGGCATTCACTGCTCTTACTGTTCTGGCCAGAGGTCAAAAAGTGCAATGACACAAAAAGTACAACAACAAAGTATATGGGCACTGGAGGAAGGTGAACACATTATAGGAAAATAGTTGGTACAGATAGGGATAGGGTGGAGCAACTTAGGCAGATATGGAACAGGAAATTTTTCAACAGCATTTGGACAGCTTTTATTTCAAAGTGGTTACAAGACAAAATTAAGTAAGTAAAGCAGTGGTTCTCAACCTTCCTAATGCTGCGACCCTTTAATATAGTTCCTCATCTTGTTGTGACCCCAACCATAAAATTAGTTTCATTATTACTTCATAAATATGTGTTTTCCTATGGTCGTGACCCACAGGTTGAGAACCGCTGACGTAAAGAATCAACTAGTAAAACTTTTTAAAAAAAAATTTGTGTCATTCTAAATTGAACTTGTGAGTTAGCAGTTATGTTAAGTGTACATTGATTCATCTGTAAATTTATTGATGTGTAATATTGATTTATACATTGGATGACACTGATTTATGTGTACATTAATGTCGTATCAAGTTTATAGCCTGGCTTAGTATTGAATTATTAAGATAACCACTTTAAAATGCTATCTATATATAGTTACGAAGAGTGTTTTTTAATAAATATATGATAATAAAGTATCATCATTGGCAGTATTCTATTTTTCAGGGAAGATCCTCTGACACGGCAGGAAGTATTACATGGTTAATAATATTAAATCCAGTACTCACATGTGAATCTGCACAAGTTGAAAATATTTAGAAAAAAAAATAGAAAAAAAAAGAAAAGTAAGAAAGAAACCATTAATTGAACATTGAAAAATTAAAAAAAAGGGAAGTAATGTTTCAACATGTAATTACAAGTCCATGGCATGTGTTCACCTATTTTAAATGTTATAAAAATGTTCTTATTTTATTTGTTTTCTTTCTAGATTAAAACAATATAATCAAAAAGTGTAATTTTTAGTTTTAAGATTAAATTTTTTACAGGCAAATTTCTAGCTGCCTGGTTAAAATACTTGAATCATTTTGATAAAATCAGGAATACAAAAGTAATAAGTGTTGATACAAGCAGGATTGACCATGGACTTGAACAATTTCAATTGAATGACAGGTTTTAGTGGCAAAGTGCAATGTTGATTATGGAACCCTTCAATTGACTCCATAGTTGATAGTTCAGAATATTTACTAGCATTGAAAAAAATGTCTCTAAGCTTCTGTATCTTCCTTTCTGCCCCACACCCCACCTATTAATGAATCAAATTAATTGTACTTGAGAGTGTAACATAATCTTTATTAAGAAATAAAGATCTCATGTAAATTGAGAGTGAAACATGATCTGTTTCAAGGAATAAAGATCTACTGTGAACTGAGAGTGAAACATGATCTGTAATAAGGAATAAAGATCTACTGTGACTGTGAGTGAAAATAATAATAAATTGTTAGAAAATGTGCTGAATAAAAAATATTGAGGGAGACGAGGTAGGGAGAAGACCAAACATTTCATGCATCACACACAGTGTAGAATAAAGTAGTCAGAAAATAAGATATATTTATATATTAGAAACATTGTCTCCATTCGTTGCTCATTTACTTTGGGGGAAAATAATACTTCAGTAACACTGTAACTTCCATCAACAGAGTGTACATTACTTCAACTGTTTATGAATGGACCAATGAACGTAAGTGGGCATTAATTTAGCTTTTTTTTTTAAAATGAATGAACATAAAGTTAAATATTGAAATGGCCGTTCTCTGCATTTCTGATAGAAATTTCAGCATGGGGCGTCATCTTACGGATGCTCAACCGTCGCTCTTTGGCCTTTTGGGAGGCCATGGCTTTCTGGGAAATTTTGTTCTTGTTCCTGATGATCTTCAGCTCCTCTCTTTCTTTTTCCTGTCAAAACAAAAGTTCATTGCATTAATTAATTCAAGACTCTGTTAGAAACCTAAAAGTAAGTGAGTTTTATGTCCCTACCAGACTAGTTAGCGGCTCTGGCTTAACAAACGTGAAGATTTGAATCTTATCATCAAATTGGAGCTGGCTTGATGTTTTCAAATAGGGTTACTATAAAATATTCCTGAGTCTGGCAGTGACATTGCGGAGCAGACCAGGAACAGAGTTATTTATGGGGAGGAGGAGGAACCAGGGTAAACAAAAAAAAACAACAAAAAAACACCAAAACACTAAAAACACAAAAAACAAAAAAAAACACCAAAAAACACCAAAACACCAAAAAACACCAAAAACACAAAAAAACACCAAAAACACAAAAAAAAACACCAAAACAACACCAAAAAACACAAAAAAAACCACCTCAGCCTTTATTTAAAGATGAGGTAACTTTAAACCCCCTATGCTGTCCCCAACAATGATTCTCAAATTACACACAAAAAAGCTTCCAAGTCCTCAGTAAAAAAAAATAAGATAAATCAGTGCTTATCTCATACATCCTGCTGTCACTTCTGCCTCTATCCCTAACAACCATCCATTCCGCTTCCTGATTTTTAACTAAAAAAAATACTATGTAGACATTCCCCAGGACTGACTCTGTAACTCACCGTTTGGTGCCAGCGAATCATTAGTGCTCTTTCATTGTCACCAAACGGTACCGAGTACTTGATCATCTGTTCTCTTCGACACTCTGTCGTGACAGTTTGTTCCACAACCAGCACAATGTTGGCCCACTGTAAAGACAATCACATAAAATAAACCCATTATTATGCACTGCCAACATTGACATGTGCACAAGTATTACAATAATCATGAAATATTTAATTTGAAAACCTTGTGGAAATTCCAAAACTTCTTCAAATTTAAGAGCAACTTAAAAGTTAAAATTGAGTTCAATGTCTTCGAAATGTCTTCTTTGAAATGATCATAGTCACTGTATTGTGGGGTTAATTTCTAGGTCGATATCCCAACTTTACGACAAATACGTCACTGGCTACCTGACCTGTCTAAACCATTCCTTTTGTGTGTTCGTCACTTCCTCGTAGGTCCGGCCCATCATAGCAATCAACATGTTGACCAGTAGAAGGGTGACCATGATCATGTACACAACAAAGATCACCTAAAATGGAAACCTCTCAAATATCATTCATAAGAAGTATTTTTATTAACTCAAGATCATTTATGAGAAATACTTTTATTAGCTCAATATAATTTCTGTGAAATGTATGGTTTCTGAGTAATAGTTTTGGCCTGTTATACTCGTTCATGAGAAATACTTTTATTAAGTCAATATCATTCATGATAAATATATTTTTTCTGAGAAATAGTTTTTATCCTCTTAATATTAATTAGAGAAAACTTTTTCATAGCTTAAGTGGACATTTATCCCCTATCAAGAAGAATAAATCTTTAAAAAAATTGGCGGGAAAAAGGGAGGGGTGGGGGTGTTAAAAAAAAATCTATTTAAATTCATCTAAAAGAGTTTAAAGAATTAAAATTAGGGAAATAATAAGTTTCTGCAATCAAAATCCCTAACTAAAATTATCTGTTTATCTTTATTTTTTTTTAGAAATGGTGCAAAATTTTAAGAAGCTGAGATAGAGATTTAAAAAACCCAATCATGTTAGTCAATTTTTAGATCGATAATATAGCAAACTAAAGATCATTAGGATTATTATTAAATTAAACTGCAATGTTGCCAATGGCTAGGTGCAAGATAATTTGTCACGAGATAATGTTAATTTTTATTTTAAAAATTACATAAAATAAACATGAACATTTTTTTTGGTACAAATTAGAACCCAGGGACTTACTCTAATTACTTATTTCCTAACCAGATACACTTTAATTGATGGGCAGTGACCCCCATATTTTTTCTCAGGATAAGTTAAATTTATATCAGTAAAAAAATTCTTGGCTAGTACAGTACAACACAATTTTTTACACGCTCACTTCCCTGGATATTCATTTTGCCTGGATATTCATTTTGTTGGATATTCGTTGATAAGTAGAGAATATAACTACTCAGAACAATTTTTAAAAATCACTAACAAATGCCTGTAGTATATTACAAAAAATCAGTTGAGCATGGAACTATACTTATCCTAGTTATTTACAATATAAATAGAAAGCAGTGATGTATTGGAAGGGGGGGGGGATCCTGTGTTCTATGGTCTCTATACCACCTAAAGGTACTGATGATTCTTCAACCAGGTGGCACATTTCTTAATGAATGAATAAGCCTCCAAGTAGTTTGATAAAAAACAAAAAAACCTAGACATAATCTGAGCATTGACTGCTATGGTTGGCTGATTGAAGCAAGCATGAGCCGCGAGTTTACCTTCAATCTGTCAACAAGCCAAAGACAGGGCATTTATTTAAGTTATTTGGTCTAATTTAAAGAAATGGGTTAAATCATGAAAAGATAATTACATCACAAACAAATTTTCAGCAACTTAAACACAAATGTTGAAGCCATAATTAGTTGATATAAGAAATATATAACAGGACAGGGAAAAACTGCATTCTAATATCTCAAAGTAAATTTTTGAGGCACAGCAGACCAGAGCCTTATTAGGGCTGTAGAGCACATAAAAATAATCAGGGCAGTCTAAATTAAAGTATTTAAATTGTATACACATAGTGGATTTATAAATGAGAGCCCAGATTAACTGTACATTATGTTTCTTTGATAAATAGGCAGAACATTAAATAAATTCCTCCATGATTCTACAGCTATTTATTGATAAAACACTATAGCATCAATTAGTGATAGACTATAAATATTGGGCTTTTTATTACTAGTACATTACTAGATTTATTGTAAATCAATTGTATTGTCACTCACTTTTATAAGTCCTTTAAATGGAGAATTCAAACAGTTAAAATTTGAGGACAGATCATCAAAATCACCAACAGACATTGAAAACATGGCGAGAATTGCTTCAAGAGGGTTTTTAAACACAAGTTCCGTTTTATTGCATTTGCATTGGCTATGGTCCACGTATTCCAGTGTATGGAAGGGAATATGAACAGCTGGGAAGGAAAACAAACAACATACTCTACTTATTAATGCAATACTAAACGTTCAATTCCAATTGAACTGTTCAGCTTTAATTTGAAATATTTTAACAGTTGCCTTAAATCACGGGAGAGTAGAATCCATGTAAAAATTACCATCTGGCACCATCAGCTACAGGTTGTTTAATTCTTGGATGTCTCCTCTATATCTTTATTTTCTAGCAGTAAAAAAGTATTGGGGGTGGGTGGTGGGGGGGAAGGCATGCGCCCACTTGTCCAACTCTATCACTAGGAACGTCGAAATCCTTTGTAATAGAATTTTAATCAAAACTCATTTCATCAAAATGGATTAAAATCCCCAAAATTATATTTGTAGAAATTGTCTAATTCTTCTGACAAATGTACTTCTAAAATTAAAACAGAAAAATATTTCAAGAAGCTTTGTGTAAAGGTGACCAGATACTAAATCTGTGAGTAAGATGACATTGCTTTGGGTTGGGCAGTTGATTGGTGTGCATTAAATATTGTCAAGGTTCAACTAGACAGAGTGCAAAACAATGAATGATTTAGGATGCTTGATAATTTTCATAAGTAACTTGGAAACAATGCTGAAAATATATGGTTGTCATTTGGCAATAACACAATAAGGATATTAATATAATACAACCACAAACCCAGTACACATCTAGAACAAATAGTTCAGCACACTGAAAAATGTGCAGAGATTTTACAGTGTGCTCAAGGAGAACAGTGACTAAAGAATAAGAAAATATAGATCGCTGACTAAAAATTATTATTAAGGAGGCGAAAAAATGACACAAACTGTAGGTCTGGAGAAGGCACTGCCAAGGATGCTTCTGGCCGACACTTATAAATGTACAAACGTTTGCCTATGAGAAGGCACGGAGGCCAATGCAAGAAAAGGGTAATGTTATTTTTATCTTTTAACTTTGACATTATTTCTATGCTTTTCTAAGCTTTACCTCGCTTCTTTACACCTAGAGTTTGTGTCTAAACATCTTCTACACAGTGGCATAGAAAGTAAGGGGAGGGGAGGGGGGCTGGCAAACCTCAGTGGCAATTTTTTTCTTTATATGGAGGGTAAGCCAAGCTTTTGAGTTTTTTTTTTGTGGAAGCGGGAGGCACAACTTGACACACCTTGGGCGGCACTAACCCTAGCTAGGCCACTGATTTCACACAGATCTAACCATCTTCTACACAAATAAATGAACTAACTACAGCACCCAGTTTAAACATCATTAACAAAATATATAAAAAATATATAAAGTAACTAGCAAAACTAGCACAGTTTTGGAAAAATTGAAAGCCGAGTGAGGGTGTACATTAAAAGTGACTAAGCAGATTTGATAGATTTGTTGATGCAACAAATGCTCAAACCCATGAGAGATTAACAAAGCAAAAGAGAATAACATCAAAACAACAAAAGAAAAAAAAATCCACTATTCTTTGGCTGGCCTACTTTAGCAAGGCCTGGGGCAGGAGTTGACTCAAACGTGCTGTAAAAATCTGCAAACTGTCCAAGGGACATAACAATCATTGCCATGACTGCATCCTCTGGGCTTCTGAATGCACTGTCTTCAACTTCCTTATTTAACAGAAACATGGCTGAAATACATCAGATTATTTTAAAAAAGATGCATGCTTGAGAAATAGAGAAGTCCATTTTGCTATTGGTAAACATGCATTTAGATGCAACAGTGTAGCCCTATGTCAGAACTGAACACAAGCGAGGCAAAGGAAGGCCATTCATTTATTTAAAATGCCATATTTCATGAAAATGCTGTACAGAAAATTTGAAAAGATAAACTTTTCACATCCAAAATCATAAATTTGTTTTGTATCACAAACAAATAACGTTAAAAAAAAATAATTAAACAACTAATCATCTCAAGCATAATAACTTTATAAATAATATGCGCAAATTTAATTTTTGCTATCCCTTAAGGGTTAATAAGACTAATCATCATGCTGGCTTAATTGTTCTTCTCCTATATATAAGGGCCCACAATCAATTTATTGATCATTCTGGCTTCTCTGCATGTAGAGGGGGATTTGCAATGTTTCTGTGCCTGGTTTTCTTCTTCTTATATTTGAGGGGCCCACAATCAATTTGTTGATCATTATGGCTCCCGGTTTTAATTCAGAGTTTGCCTTCTCTTAGATGGGTTGCCGTCCAAGGCTAACGAGCCCCATCCACCCGGGGTGCTTGGGATGTTGGCTTTGATGGGGATTGAACTCCGGCCCACCGGCTATTTGGTTTGAGACAGTTTAGACCATTTAGACGAGGACATCTTGCTGGTTGCAAGGGCTACTCAGTGAGGGGACTGTTGAATGTTATTCCTCTCACATGATTTATTCTATATTTTAGCCACATTGGTTTAAATACTCCAGAGATATCTTTTTTTTTTTTACCTAAAAGTACCCAAATGTTACTGTGGATTTTAAATGAAAGTTATTCAACACTTTAATGGTTGGTAAATAAATAATTGTTACAAATTTAAAAAAAAAAAATTTAAAAGACTGCAGTATTATTTAATATTGATTCATTATTTATAAAGATTTTTATATTTTGTCAATATTAAAAATCTATCAGGGCTAGGGCTGCTGAATTATTAATATCTAATGAGCTAATCAAGAGATGTTACCTTGTGAGAATCCAATGATAAAAACCACATAGATGATAAAGAATTGAAACAAGTCTTTACGGATCATGTTGTAAATCATGACAACTGATGGGCCAACAATACGAAAACCACTGGGGAGGAGGTTAAACTTTTGTTAACATTTTCAGACATAGATATTGTTNAAAAATAAAAAAGCGTAATTACCCCATAAAAATGAGTATAAAAAAAAAAAAAAAAATTTGTAGCTTTAACATGTTATCTATTTGAGCTGAAACTGACTCCAAATAAAAATGTTGTCTAAAAATTTATTTCATCAAAAAGAAAAAAACAAAGAGAAGACAATCTGAAGACCAAATGAGGAGACAATCTGAGACCAAAGAGAAGACAATCTAAAGATCAAAGAGGAGACAATCTGAAGACCAAAGAGAAGACAATTTAAAGATCAAAGAGGAGAGAATCTGATGACCAAATGAGGAGACAACTAAAGATAAAAAAGGAGACAATCTGAAGACCAAATGAGGAGAGACAATCTGAAGACTAAGGAGAAGACAATCTAAAGATCAAAGAGGAGACAATCTAAATATCAAAGAGGAGACAATCTGAAGACCAAAGAGGAGACAATCTGAAGACCAAAGAGGAGACAATCTGAAGACCAAAGAGGAGACAATCTGGTGGGTGTTCAGGCTTTTAATTCAAAACAAATAAATCACACATTAAGAAAAGTTGCTCACCGACAAAAGAAGAGGAAGTACGGGGACGTGCATAGAACAGCCAAAACTCCAATGACATCCTCAAACTGGTGGGCGCAGGCAGCTCGGCCAGGCAGCATGATGATGACAAAAATACAAGACATCAGGAACAAAGTTTTAGCTGGGGCCCCAGTCTGAGAAACAAACAAAAATTACAAAACATAAACCTATTGAAATATATTTTTTGTGTGAGCAAATTAAGAGCAATCTTTTACTCTTATCTTTGGTATGTTACTTTCTAAAGTAAGAGCAATCTTTCACTCTTATCTATGGTATGTTACTTTCTAAAGTAAGAGCAATCTTTCACTCTTATCTTTGGTATGTTACTTTCTAAAGTAAGAGCAATCTTTCACTCTTATCTTTGGTATGTTACTTTCTAAAGTAAGAGCAATCTTTCACTCTTATCTTTGGTATGTTACTTTCTAAAGTAAGAGCAATCTTTCACTCTTATCTTTGGTATGTTACTTTCTAAAGTAAGAGCAATCTTTTACTCTTATCTTTGGTATGTTACTTTCTAAAGTAAGAGCAATCTTTCACTCTTATCTTTGGTATGGTACTTTCTAAAGAAAGAGCAATCTTTTACTCTTATCTTTGGTATGTTACTTTCTAAAGTAAGAGCAATCTTTCACTCTTATCTTTGGTATGTTACTTTCTAAAGTAAGAGCAATCTTTCACTCTTATCTTGGTATGTTACTTTCTAAAGTAAGAGCAATCTTTCACTCTTATCTTTGGTATGTTACTTTCTAAACTAAGAGCAATCTCTTACTCTTATCTTTGGTATGTTACTTTCTAAAGTAAGAGCAATCTCTTACTCTTATCTTTGGTATGTTACTTTCTATAGTAAGAGCAATCTGTAACTCTTATCTTTGGTGTTACTTTCTAAAGTAAGAGCAATCCCTTACTCTTATCTTTGGTATGCTACTTTCTAAAGTAAGAGCAATCTCTTACTCTTATCTTTGGTATGTTACTTTCTAAAGTAAGAGCAATATCTTACTCTTATCTTTGGTATGTTACTTTCTAAAGTAAGAGCAATCTTTCACTCTTATCTTTGGTATGTTACTTTATAAAGTAAGAGCAATCTTTCACTCTTATCTTTGGTATGTTACTTTATAAAGTAAGAGCAATCTTTCACTCTTATCTTTGGTATGTTACTTTCTAAAGTAAGAGCAATCTTTCACTCTTATCTTTGGTATGTTACTTTCTAAAGTAAGAGCAATCTTTCACTCTTATCTTTGGTATGTTACTTTCTAAAGTAAGAGCAATCTTTCACTCTTATCTTTGGTATGTTACTTTCTAAAGTAAGAGCAATCTTTCACTCTTATCTTTGGTATGTTACTTTCTAAAGTAAGAGCAATCTTTCACTCTTATCTTTGGTATGTTACTTTCTAAAGTAAGAGCAATCTTTCACTCTTATCTTTGGTATGTTACTTTCTAAAGTAAGAGCAATCTTTCACTCTTATCTTTGGTATGTTACTTTCTAAAGTAAGAGCAATCTTTCACTCTTATCTTTGGTATGTTACTTTCTAAAGTAAGAGCAATCTTTCACTCTTATCTTTGGTATGTTACTTTCTAAAGTAAGAGCAATCTTTCACTCTTATCTTTGGTATGTTACTTTCTAAAGTAAGAGCAATCTTTCACTCTTATCTTTGGTATGTTACTTTCTAAAGTAAGAGCAATCTTTCACTCTTATCTTTGGTATGTTACTTTCTAAAGTAAGAGCAATCTTTCACTCTTATCTTTGGTATGTTACTTTCTAAAGTAAGAGCAATCTTTCACTCTTATCTTTGGTATGTTACTTTCTAAAGTAAGAGCAATCTTTCACTCTTATCTTTGGTATGTTACTTTCTAAAGTAAGAGCAATCTTTCACTCTTATCTTTGGTATGTTACTTTCTAAAGTAAGAGCAATCTCTTACTCTTATCTTTGGTATGTTACTTTCTAAAGTAAGAGCAATCTTTCACTCTTATCTTTGGTATGTTACTTTCTAAAGTAAGAGCAATCTCTTACTCTTATCTTTGGTATGTTACTTTCTAAAGTAAGAGCAATCTTTCACTCTTATCTTTGGTATGTTACTTTCTAAAGTAAGAGCATTCTCTTACTCTTATCTTTGGTATGTTACTTTCTATAGTAAGAGCAATCTCTTACTCTTATCTTTGGTATGTTACTTTCTAAAGTAAGAGCAATCTCTTACTCTTATCTTTGGTATGTTACTTTCTAAAGTAAGAGCAATCTCTTACTCTTATCTTTGGTATGTTACTTTCTAAAGTAAGAGTGATCTCTCACTCTTAGCTCTGGTATGTTACTTTCTAAAGTAAGAGCAATCTCTTACTCTTATGTTTGGTATGTTACTTCCTAAAGTAAGAGTAATCTCTTACTCCTATCTTTGGTATGTTACTTTCAAAAGTAATAGCAATCTCTTACTCTTAGCTTTGCTCTTTTACTTTCTAAAGTAAGAGCAATCTCTTACTCTCACCTTTGCTCTTTTACATTCTAGTCAAGCTTGAAAATTAAACAAAAATTGTTTTTATTAATCTTGTCACCAATGATTATTTAATTATGTATTGTTGTATTATCATTGTATATCATGACCCATCAGTTTGTTATGTGTAAGATTGCTGTATATTTTCATGACCTACCAGTGTATCATAGCTAAAGATTGTTGTATACGTCATGACCTACCAAAGTATCATGGCTAAAGATTGTTGTATATGTCATGACCTACCAGTGTATCATAGCTAAAGATTGTTGTATACGTCATGACCTACCAGTGTATCAGGGCTAAAGATTGTTGTATACGTCATGACCTACCAGTGTATCATGGCTAAAGAGTGTTGTATACATCATGACCTACCAGAGTATCAAGGCTAAAGATTGTTGTATACGTCATGACCTACCAGTGCATCATGGTTAAGGTTGTTGTATACGTCATGACCTACCAGTGTGGAGAAAAAAACCTTGAATCCCTGGTGGTAGATCTCCTTCATGGCCAAGAAGATGTAAATTATGGCAGAGATTAACACAATCACTTCTAGAACCATCCGCGCCTGCGATGGGAAAACAAACCATAGTATTAATGTTTTAATTTACAAGTCGAAGTATCATCAAAAACAAATTAATTTTTAATAATCTTCTTTTCTTCTTCTTTGACTTGCCCTCAACTTACAATGTCTTCTGTCCTAAATGGCACAAGGAGGTAACAGGGATCATCAAATCTATTGGACCCAGAGTTGTTACAGAAGCTGCGGGGATTAGTTGTGTTCTTAGTAGACAGGCATGGGTTCTCACCAGGTCGGAGAGCAAATGCCGTGACGAAACACAGGAAATAACAAATGAACAGGATAAGGGGGGGGGGGGGGGGGGGTGTTTCAAACATTTAGTAAAGCTTGTAATTTCCATTGCTGTAATTTCACACAATCTTACTAATATAATTGTGCATACACTTCATCCTCATTTGGTTTTAAATTTCAAATGTTTCATTGTAATTTGTCTCTTTGACTTTGAGCATATTTTCAAGGGAAATTTTAAACAACTGGATAAACGAACATGCACATTTCATAAACTTGAAAGCTGTAAAAAGTAATGGACTGGTGCTGTGGCGCGCTGCTCATAATTTAAAGTCCTAGTAACTGAATTTCCTTCCAAGATAAGGCCTACAATAATTGAGATAAGCTCTGCAATTTATAAAATCCCCTGAATTATAAAACTCGCATTAAAGGGCATATATGTCTATATGGAACCAATGATGTAATACTTTTTAGTTATGCAGTCAGTATAAGACATTTATAACTGTACCTGAAAGCCACAAAAGTTCTCCACTTTTCCTGCAAGAGTTTTACAATCAAGCCATCCATCATATCCAGGTGGCCTTCCAGGTTCTGAAATGTGAAGATCCGAAGTGAGCAAGGCTACAAAAATAGTTCTAATCTCTCTTAAGTTGTCTGGCACATCATTCCCACCACACAGTTTATTTATAGGCTGGTTGTTACTTTGACTATTCCTGAAGTCTTATAAGTCCCTCCATAAATGTTCCTTCAATTGAATACAAAATTATGAAACAAATTCTTTTTCTAAAGAAAAAATTATACACAAATTTTCAAGAGGAAATACCCCTTTGACAATCAGGTGAAGCGCAGAATCCATATTAATTTCTCCTGTCCTGGATATTGTATCCACATCATTTAAGGGATATCCAGCAGAAGTAACATTACCATAAAGCCAGTAAACTTCTCTAACAATTTCCAAAATGTGTTCATACATCTGCAACACAGAAATGAATAGACATTAAATAATTATATCTTGCACTATCTCACACTGTTATTTTAATAGCCTGGGCATTACATGTTGGTCAAATAAAATAATTATATCTTGCACTACCTCACACTTTCATTTAAATACCTTGGGCATTACATGCTGGTCAAATAAAATAACAACAATTTTTTTCTAATACAAAACTGTCTCATAACTTGGGGGCATTTATTTTTTGTCATAACTAGGAAGCGTTTAGTTTTTATCATAACTTTCATGAGGGAGTTTTGTGTTTGTTAAACTTCAGTATATAAATTTAAATAAATGACCAATGACATAAAATTTGAAAATAAATTTAAGAACAGAAGATATATTATATTGTGCTGATTTTATTTTCCTTGAGAACTTACATCCTTTCTTGCAAGCTTTGCAGCCAGACTAAGGGGGGTTAAATTTTGTCTATTCTTTATATCCAATCGAGCCCCTTGGCTGTGAAGTAAGTCAAACATTGGCTGAAAGAAAAATGTCGTTTAGAACAACCAGAGCATTCGACAAAAAAAAAAAGAAAAATATTAAAATACTTGCAATGGGCTGCAAATAAATTTTGAACACTTCCAAGATGTGAAAATAGATTAAATGAATATTAAATATTCAATGAACAGGATATGCAGAAACAAGTTCTTAAAAAAATGCCAGTGAAGAATTAACAAACAATACAAATATTAAAATCAGTTTGAAAAAATAAATAAACAAATAATGCAATGTTTTTTAACATAGTAAAGTAAACAATTGGAGCTAGACAACCAATATTCCACAGGGTATGTAAGGCAATGGAAACCATTTTATTTGTGTATTTAATCCTTTAATTTCTACTTTCAATGTTTCTGCAATGTCTCCTACTTCATAAACTGGTTTAAAACTCACCATATTGTCATAAATGACCAGCATATGCAGCACAGTGTTACCATTAAGATCCTGCAAGTTTGGGTTGGCTCCCTTGGCCAGCAACAATCTGACACATTCCTCTTGATTGAGACAGGCAGCAAAACTCAGGGGATAATCTCCCCAGTAGACATTTCTGTGAGGGCATCAGAAATACACTATTTACATATAGGATCAAATTAAAAATGTCAGCAAATCTCTCAACAGAGTCAAAATTTAGCGGACTCTTTAGATATCATAGTTCTAAAATCTAATTAGAAAGAGTTCAGTTATCAGTAAGCCTTTAGCATGGTATTCAGTAAATTATTTCCCTTTTGTAAACACTTTTGAGTGAAATATTTAAAATTAATTAAACCCTTTCATTTTTCATTTATCTACATTAGCCTTGATCACAGAGTGTATCAATGAGATGTGATACCAAAGAAGACAGGTTCATCACTATCACACTACTGCAACATAATTAATTTTAGACAAGGGAACATTAACAACAAAAGTATAAGGTAACATCATGATGAGCCCTGAAAGTGGTAATATCTCAACATATATATTTTGACAATTGCGTCAATTCTAAGCTTGTGGACTGGAGTTCAGTCCCCAGCAACAGCCTCATCAAGCAATAAAACATCACCAGCACCCTGGGTAGATGGGACTCAACCTTGGATGTGAATGCCTTTAAGAGAAGGAAAACTCTGAATTCAAAGCCTGAGATGGAATCCTGTAGGTGGAAAGATAATTAACTCAATAAAATTTCCTGCAACTCCTGAGATGTCACTGGTGCCAAGCTTTACCAACCACACTCAATGTTCCCTTGGGTTCACTAGAGGTGTGGAGAGAGGAGATTTGCTGCCTAGGGAGCCAGCTTATATATATATATATATTCCTCCTAAAGAAAAATCCTTGGCCTTGACATTTCATCCTGTGAAGTCTAAATCATCATCAAATTGTGAGGGATGGAAATATCTTTTGAAAACATATTAAGGTTTTCATTTCAAGGAGGAAAAAGTAGGCATTCAGTCTGTTGGGTTAAGGAGAGTCTGTGACAAGGAATTTTTGCCTTGATTGTTTCTGTTTGATAAAAATGATCATTCAAGTTATGTCAGTTTGACTGTGAGCTGCCAAGAGCTAATGTGACTATGTCTCTGAACAAAATATAAAGACCTGTTTGACAACACAAACATACACTGAATGAAATTTGAGTACACTGCTTCTGGTAGTTAAAAAATTAATATAATCTTGTAGTGAAATATAAAAAATCTTACCCTTCATAATTAGTTTCAGTGCAAACATTGACCCATTCATGATCCAAAGAATCTGTCCTTGAACCCTTTTGGTCGTCAGGTGTGAAGAAATTCCCACAAACTCTAGCCTCGAAGTCAACACCCTTATCTAGAAGAAATTTCACCATGGCAGGGTCCTCATTCACAATTGCAATGTGCAGGATGTTCTCCCCTGTTCAAGTGTGCAATAAATCTCATTTCTAACTACATCATAAGTAAAGCTTGATTAGGAAAATTTGCTTAAGGCTTGAATAAAGATCCTTGAAATGTTTATAATTTACTAAAACTTTGCTCTCTGTTTGCTCTGATATCATGAATGGAGATAAGATTTATTAAGATTCAGTTCAGGTTTGTTCATGTCATTGTCTGGGACAACTAAAGATTATTGTTATAAATTGTGGCTGTAACTGTAAGGGTATTGTATCATTCCTGGTATAATGAACTGATTCTTTTTATTAGCCTTGGTAATCACATTAACATTGCCATGACAAGTTGATAGATATGCACCCTAATAAATTGCTATTCTCAATAAAAAAACTCTTGGTTTTCTTATAGATTGTTAATTTTTTTTTTCAAAGTTAAGTTTCCTATAAATGAGTAAATTTTAAATGTAACTTGAGAAGAACAAATATTTAATACCATAGTATTCTTCTCCAACATAAATATCATTTATCATTTTTGGAAAGAACATGAGTAGCCTCTTTGCCAGATCAGCATGAATTTGTGTGGCATTGAGCAGACAGAGGTGAAGAATTGTCTCCCCCACTGTACCTCTCTTGTCTAAATCCCAGCATTGGAAACGAGATTTATGATCTGAAATATTCAAAGAATGACTAACTACACTTGTTTACTTTACTATGGTCAAACACCTAGCACTATTTTTGTTTGCTTTTTCAGAACATAGAAGGTAGTAGTGATGATAACAAATGCATCCAATAAAATAACTATGCTCCTGATAGATTCTGTCAAAAACACAGCAGAAGAAAATTCAAATTCTAATCAACAGTTAAATTGATAAGGTAGCATGCACAGATCAATTATTTATATTATAAATTAAGTAATGATTTTGTTTCCATCCTAAAAATAAAATATACATAGAAAGTGACAAGAATTAATCCCCACCTAAAAAAGAGTTTTTCAGGGGAAAAAAAAAAGTTAAACTTAATTATGGCACCTTGTTTTGATAAAATACCATCAATTTGATCATGCTCCATCTGCATGATGTTATCTATTCTGGCCTGATCTTGGGCTGATTTCTGCTTGTTTTTGCTTGCTTTGATGCCACTCTTTTGCCTATCTTTGTTTCTGATTTTAACAAGGTCCACAATGGGAATATATTTCCCTTCACCTCCATTATATAAAAATGGTTTTACATCTCTTTTTATTCTCTCATCCAGATCTAAAAAGAAAGACATAGTTAAGAAACTTAAACTATTAATTTTGTTGATTTGATCATGTCTTTTGATTATCACTGTAGGTGTAATTAATTAATCATAAACCATCAGTTAAATATAAGCTTATTCCTGGTTTTCATGTGCCATTAATTGATTATAATAAATGATATAACAAGGTAAATATCGATGATCTGGCCAACATTCTGGTAAATACATTTAAATTCCAGGTAACTGTATGCATTGCTATCTTGAACTTTGATTTAATACTTAAAAGTTAAGTTTAAGCGACTAAAAAAGCATTTCAATTTAAAATGTTTTTTTTTAGTCGCTTAAGTTTAAATGACTAACTTTAAGTTAGCTTATAATTAAGAAATATTGATTATTGCAAATATAAATTCATCTCATTCTCAAATGTATATTATTAAATTTATTATTAATATTACATTTATATTAATTATTAATTAAATACAAATAAATGACTAAACTAAACTTAATTTTTTTTTAGGACACATTCTACTTAACTACTGTGTTTCTATTACTTAGACTAATAAGCCCTACTAACTAACTATTTTAGTGACTTTACTCTTTAGTAGTAGTACTTCTATATCTTTTATTTAGTACTTAGTTTAAAGTACTTACTGACCTACTGCACTTACCAGTAAAATTTTTGGTCCACCTCGCTACTTTTGTTAAATCTACAAGCTCTCCCCCACCTTTCAAACCAACAAGGCGATAAAGCTTACTAGCATCAGCATCCCCTTGATTTTTTACACCACTGGCTACAACAGTTGTGTTTCCCATACTCAAGAAAGAATATATATCGTTATGGTACAATACGGTACTTCCTTGTTCACAAACATAGATAGGCCGCCATTTTCGATGCTCATTAAAAATGCAAACAATATGGGTCATCTCCTAGCAGCTATAGACAATTATAAAAATAGATTCTACAAATGGGACACATATATTTTGTTATGGATGTTGTCATTTTCAAAGATATAATGGAGATATAATTTAGTGTGTGAATGTTTTCTCTTTGAAAATTCACGAGGGTTAGTTGGGAATTGCGAAACTAAACACAAATAAAGACTGGCAATTACTTTATTGTCTTCCATTTCCGGGTTATTTAGTCTTCTTAGCAACAGTTGTGGCGGCGTTAACGACGGTGTGAGGTTGGCGCAGTGCTAGAGATTATAGTAGTGGAGCTTTAGGTTGCGATAAAGATAACAAGGTGCTTTAGCTCAAAGTTGAAACGCCACCTTTTTCTTTTGAAAATGACATCAATTGCAACAGGTGGGGGTCCTACTTTGGAACAGAGAAGAGCATTTGCAGGATTAAAAGATGGATCTGAAATACCAGGGTTCGTATTTTTTTACTTTTTAGTCTTCTAGTTTAGTTTAACTCTTTGAGTGAGTTTTAACGCAGCCAAGTTTATTAGGAGTGGCAGATTATTTCCACTGCTGCCACTTGCAGTGAAGTATTATACTCTTATCAATAATAATCATTTTAAAATATAAAATAACAGAAAAAGAAGATTTAAATTTAATTAATTAATTAGCCTAGCTTATAATCAATAAAAATATATTTGTGGATAAAATTACAAGCTTTTGTCTACAATCCTAGATCTAAATCCTAAGTGCAAAGGAACAATTCAGTATCTTAGCTTCGATTTTGTGTATAGTAAAGACTATAGACATTGATAATTATCTCATCTGACATCTTATTAACGTATTATCATTTTCACTCCTCCTGTGAGGCTTTACTTAAAGAAATGCAATTTACTTCATGTCCATGTTCATGTACATTATTTTATAATTATATATAATTTCCATGTTTACTCAGTAAAAATTGTTTTTTTGGGCCAAGCAAACATGGTAATTACTCTAATAAATATGCAAAATAAGTAAATGGGCAACTGGAAATATAAGCAGTAAACATTTCTACTTACTTACTTAATCAATTAAAATTAAGCTGATAGCATTTTCTCTTAATTGAAAAAAATGCTTCAATTATATTTAAAAATAGAATAGTTTTCTTTACTGGTAATAAGTTCCATTAAGTTAAAAGTTTAACAAAAATTATCCATAATTTAATTTTAATTTCATATAATCTTAAAAATCAATAATGATTTAATTGTTATTTTCCTTAAACAGGTACAGAGGTTATATACCACAGATAAAATATAGAGTGGGTGGAACATATGGTGCTGACACAAGTGCTCTCAGCAAGGTAGGCTCAAAATCAATATAAAAATATTTAAAACTTAAGATATTTTTTTAAAAATGTTGTCTTATCTTCTGCAGGTCTGGTTAAGATCAATAATTTAATTTTATTTTCATTGTAACATTTTTGAAGCAACATTTATATGTAATCAATTCTACTTTGTTCAAAAGAAATATATAAAAAAAACCCACCTCATAATTGTCACAGAACGGTTGTTACGGAGGAGGGCTCCGGTCCTGACTTATCACCAACTATACTGACTTAGCAGTGGTCAGTACAGGACCGCTCCTCTCTGTGATTTATATGGTGGGTAACTAGGTGTTGAGACAGACAAAAGCACAACGTAGACTTGAACGAAAATCAAACAACTCAAACTTCAGGTGTCCAAGGATAATGAAAATATGTTTATTTCTAAGATATAAGTTCTTCTGTTGTCTTCACTAACTGTCAGCTATCTATATGATTCTCTAAAGCTGTGACTTTTCAACTGTATCCTTTCAACTATTCCTATATCAACTAGTCAAATGTCGTCTCCTGATATCTCTCAACTGTTCTACCTCTACACTACTGCTATACCTCTCAAATGCCACTGTACCTCTCAACTCCCATGTCTCAAAAACTTCTCCCTTATATTTGCCCGTCGTGTGACTATAAACTCTACTAGCTAACCATCCCACGGTCATTGAATTGCCACATCATTAAAGAGAGCATTCCTAGACCGGATCCGTTACCCCCGGACGTCCATTCCATGTCCTTACCCACCTATTAGCAGCTATCACGTTGAGACATTTTCCATTACTGATAATTAATCTCATACCCATGGCCTTCGTGAACGTTCCATTTCCACCTATAAACTAAAAACTTGTTAATCAAAAACACTTGTGATACCCATTCCCACACTGTCCACCTGGATTCTTGATTTCCCCAAACTATCATGTCTTCCCTCTACTACCATAAACTCTGCCGATGGCAGGCTAACAATTCCCTAATCTATTGTACATTTGTGCGGTACCCCCGCCCATGGCCCCCGTCTCCAGCATGGTCATTTGTGACAATAATGCTGTCATAATAACTATAAACTAAAGTAGCAATCATAGATGATTTATTATATAATTTGTTCAAACAACAAATTAATTTCATTTGCAATTTAAGGAAACATAAAATAAGCAACATTTTTATTTTGGACAGAAATATTATTTTAATTTCAAAATTTTATCATCAGATAACATTATAGTTAGGATGGCTTTTAAAATATCTACTTTTATATTCTTTAAATAAAAAAAATTAGCAAGTTGTGAGAGACTTATTTATGAATTAATCCTTAAAAAATAATTGTATCTAAATCTTGGTGAAACGTCTGAGTGTAAATAACTTAATAAGTCATTTTGTTCATTTTTTAAGGGACATTTTTTAACAGTTAAAATTTAAAATTTAATGCTTTTAATCTGCGTTTTTAAAAGCAAGTGTGTGTATTTGGCCATACAGTTACAAATAAGATAAAATAATATTTAAATTTCTGTGCTGGATATTGTTATTTCAATAATCAACTAACTCACATTACAAGCTGAAGTCTTTATTGTTGAATTTTCTTTCTGATTTAAAAAAAAAAAAAAATGTCATCAGAGGTAAATCTTATTATTGTGTGCTTGGGTTCACAACGGAGACAAATCATTGGCATCACTATGGTTGGTGGCATAGATACGGTTGGTAACGTAGCTATGGTTGGTGTCATAGCAAGGGTTAGTGTTACCTAAGGCAGGCCAATAATCTAGCTACCCATTACACGTTAAAAACCCTCTGAATTTGGTTTTATATGCTGCCACCTAATATATAAAAAAGTGCAGCCTGGGACCGACTGCCTCCTCCGCACCCCGCTTCCTACACCAATGAGCCAAAGTAGTTCAAATTGTTCCAATAAAAAAAGAACATCTGGCTTTGTGCATCATTTAAAAAAAAAAACATGCTGTTTTTGGGTTAAAAAATAGAGACAGTATTGATTGAATTAATAACTGGAGTGATTTGTGATTTAAATTTTCTCAACAACTGAAAAAAGGTTGGGTTAATTTTGTCAAGGTATTGAGGGATTTGTAGTCCTAAGTCTATTCAATCAATTTGAAGTTCTAAATTAAGTTCCTCCTTTTTAATTATATAAAACTGATTCATTTTTCTAACCATAGAATTATCTATTGCGATCTAGTTAACCCCCACCAACCCCTTCTCTCTCTCTCCCTCTTTCTCATTCAATATCTACATCTTTCTATCTCATTATCTAAAACCTTCTCAACCACCATCTTAAACTTTCTCTCACAAAAAAAAAAATTAGAGACAAAAAAAACAAAACAAAAAAACCTTTCTCTCTCACAGTCTAAATCTTTCTATCTCACCATCTAAATCTTTCTGTCTCAACCTGTCCTAAACTGAACCACACATTTTAAACAATTTCATCTTATCTCGTCATAATTAAAAGAAAAGCTCCTCTTCAAGAAATACATCCACCTTATCTCAAGCCGCTGTTAACCAATGTAGTTAAAACCTGGCCCTCTAATATCTTGCGACTTGATGCCAGGTGCTGCTTCTATTTTCGGCCAATGTATGTAACTGCTATAATCAGAAAGTCAAGGTTGTGTGTTATTACTTATTTTGTGTAGACATTATTCTTCAAAGCATCCCCGAGCTACATGTTTAAGACATCACAACATGTCTGCAAGTATGAAAGAAAAACGCCTAATGAATCCAATTAGTTTCATGATAAAAATGTTAGTAATAAGGAGCAAAAAAAAAAAAACCAAACACAATATTTGCTGAAATGAGCGCCTGTAAATATTTTAAGGAAAGATTAATTAAATATTTTAAATATTTCGTTATTTTTAAAAGAAATTTTCATTTCTTGGACTTACAAGAAGTTTGAAATGTAAGAGGAATAAAACACGTTTTCCAGGTTTTGTTTCAGCGTATAGGAGTTATTGAACTTTCCTGTATAGGAGTTATTGAACTTTACTGTATTGGAGTTATTGAACTTTCCTGCCACACAATTCTCAAAAGGACCTCAAAAAAACCAACAACAACAAAATACTTCCACTCTAGATAAAACAGAACAAAATAACCAAACAACTGCATACTAGCTTGGCTTAAAATGGGTTCTAAAATTGGGCGGTACCACCTCTTTACTGTAAAACTTGTTCAAGACGCTCCTTGTTGCATTTCAGACACATGATTGGACGGACCTTAGTTATTTTAGCGTCTTGATAAGTGACCTTAATACAGAAAATTGAAACCTGCCAGAGCCGCAAATTAACCAACAACTCATCGCATTTTTAAAATCGTTAAATGATTTTATCACACAGTCTTGCTCCGCAATGATCGTGCGTCACAGCTACGTAATGTCCATCACCTTTACGCCTGCAATAATTTAAAAAAAAAATCAACAACTTCATCTGAGTTTCGATTGAGCATTAAACTATATTTGATAACTTATTTTGCAATTTCAATGGGCTTTTATCATACGGCGAATGAGAGATACGTGCAGACAAGTATTTTTTTACAATTCATCTAGCTACCCTATAGCATGTCAAAAGTGTGTGTGTGTGGTGGGGGGGGGGTCGGGGGAAGACGCGCAATGGATGCCTTTATGGAATTAATGGGATGGTGACCGGAAAAAAAACA